TAGTAGTAGTGGTAGTAGCAGAAGAAGACGCAGTAGCAATAGCAGTAGTAGGAGCAGCACGTGGGAGGAAGAGGAGCTGGAGAAGGCAGCACCAGCGGTAAGAATCCACATCTTTCTTATTTTTGTGTCGACAACAGCGCTTGAGCAATCTCTGATGAAATGCTCTGTCCAGTCCTGCGTCTTTTCATCCTTCTGGGCCCTCACTCTGTTGAGTAGCTCCTTCAGGTGCTGTTTGCATGCAATGTTGCTCCAAGCTCAACTCCCCGAAACACCCTGTAATCACCGGTAATCCATTACCTTCATGCGCCTACACCTTTGTAAAGCGCTTCGGCCAGAACCAGGACAGAACACTCCTTGGCACTTAGCAAAGCATCTTGTGCCGCTTGGAGCTCTGCCTGGCATGGCAGAGAGGACTGCAGGATCCGAAGAGTCCGTGTGCTTTGACATGCCTCTCTACAGGGATCTAAGCAAGCTGTCAGAAACAATTCAAGTGCAGAAGTCGGGGGGTTGGGACTTAAGGCTCAAAGGACGAGTCCTGGGCCGAGGGATATTCAAGAAACTTTGGCCACCCCGGCGCCCATCCACCTCACGTTTGGCAACACCATCCTGCAAAACGGGGCTTGGCATCAGAGAGGACTCTTACTGTGGTTTGGCCTCATGCATTGCAATGTGATAGACTTTCCCAGATGATTCGCATGGCCAGCTCCCCACGGCTCCTGGGCGTTCTGCTCCGCCTGACCAACATGAGCCCCTCACCCAATGCCCAAAGCAAAGCATGAAAGCATGGCCGCTAGACTCAGACGACCAAGGGTCAGCGCACGGCAAACACTATGAACTACTGAGTCAAAGCCGACGGTGTTCCTTCTTGATGCTTCTTGACTGCCTCGGTACTAAAATGCTGCGACAGGCAGAAGCACCCCGCAATTCCGAATGATCACCGTCGCCTGCTGCGCATCTACGATGGCAGTTTCGGCAGATGCCACGGCGCTGGCGAAGTCAAAGGAGGCAACGTGAGCCTCCGGCCGGGGGGGCTACTGTCACTGGCCCAGGACCAGAAGCGCAGGATGCAGAGGATCAGCAGCGGCGGTGACCCGAGCCGGACCAGAGGGGTCCTTTCCTTTTCGCCCCTGAGGTCAGCGTGGTGATCAGCAAAGCTGCACGAAGGCCCGTCGGAAAGCTTCGTGAGCTCTAATTAGACTCTTCAAATCTCTTAAACCTTAAGTCCAATCAGCCCAAACTGGCCCAAACATTCCGGACCCCGCCTGCCGCTCCTTTTCTCGGAAGTCTGCTGCCTGGCGGTTGGCCTCCAAGGCCACGGCCTCAGCGACAGACGGATAATAGGAGGTAGAGGCTGACGTTGCTCGCTTTTTCTCGCAGGCTGCTTGCCATCACTCTAAACTGCCGGCGTCCCTTGGCTTTGTTCTCCGAAGTCCAAGGCGATATGGATGGATAAACAGGGAGTGCAAAGAGCTCTGCCTCCGCCTCCTCCAGGCGTTGCCGCGCCGCATCCTCAGCGGCAGCAGCCTCCGCAGCCTCCTCTGGGCGCTTCAGAGTTTGAGCATTTTATAGTATATATTAGGTTTTATGTAGTATATACTATATAGTATATTATATATCTACAAAAAATATAGAGATTGTCGAAAATTGAGGTATGTATATATATATATATGTATATATATATATATGTATTCTTTTTTTTATTGATTTGAATTTACAGGTCTTATTATTTAGCATATTGTATTAGGGACCGCTATTTTTTTCATATATGAGGTCATATCGAACTTTGCAGGCCCGTGGTGGATCGGGCTTGCCAAGGGGCGCGGGTCAAGTCTGAGGTGTTTGGCGAATTCCTGCGTTGACAGAATAAACCAGGCCAGGTGCGTGCACCTCACTGCATTCGCAGCCATGTATTTTCTTCTAAGGACATAGGACTTTCCTGCGTCGCGTCACTCACCCACCAAAAGACCCGCACAAGCATCATCGGAGGAGGAAGAGGAGGAGGAGGAGGAGGAGGAGGAGGGCCAGGCAAGAGCGCACCCTTCGGGGCTGTCGCCTTTGCAGCATCTTCCCGGCTTCGGGACACAGTCGCGTGGTTGCCGGCGGTGTCCTCGCAGGGGCAAAACTCTTCCTCCGAACGGCCTTCCTAGTCGCGAGCACAGGTGTCCACAACAAGGCGGCGAGATCTGGCCGTCCTTTGTCTTCACAATCGCCGTTTCATGGGCGTCATGCCAGAACTCCAGTCGAGCTTGCGAGACCTCTGGGCATCGGTTGAAAGCGCACGCGCGAGCCGTTTGAATGGCTTTCAAGCCCTGAGCCTCCTATCCGAGAACGCATGGCCCACAAGGCAACGCGAAAGCCCGGCGCACCTCCTTGATGCCACGGCACTCCTCCACCGTCCGTTCGGCCCGCCAGACCTGAAGATGTGAGAGGCTCTTCTTCATGCTCTTGGCACTCAGCGGATTTCTCGAGTGCCTTCGCCATGCTGACCAACTCCGCCTGGGCCAGGGCCTTCGCACGCTCGTTCCTGCAGAGCACCGAAGTTCGGCTCCGGAGCCCCAGCTAGGCTACATGGAGGCCAACTACTCGTGGGAGATGCGCTGACACGATGCAGGCTCCATGTCACAGAGCTACTGCAGGCAACCGCTCAAACCGAAGGTAGCCTGGCATCGGAGTTCTTCGTCACGCTCTCCAGCTCCTGGACTGGACTGCAGAGGAAGAAACATCTCCAAATGAGAGGTTCTGAACCGAATGAGAGGTCAAGAGGCTCCATAGTCTAATGACAAAGTCACACGGTAAATGCATTTAAGTCCCCTTCCGCCCAGAGCAGGTGGCTTCTACAACCTAGGGAGAGGTACCGTGCCATGGCTTTTTGCTGGCGCTGTCCGCATTGAGCTTCTCGAACTCGGACTGCTTCGCAACAGCGGCCTGAGGCTGTGGAGTCTGGCAGAGAGAGCTACTACCTGAGACTTCCAGGAGTCGCCGGGCCTTCTGCGATGCCTCCGCGGAGTCCGCTCGCTTCTGGACAGCATCGATCTGGCCAACAAAAGTCATCAGACTTCGTTTTGCGCCAGGAGGGATTTGGAGTCTGAGTTCCAAAGAAGCTCTCCGATCTCTTAAAGGAACTGCGTAAGATCCATTCAGTGGTCATGTACTCTGGAGAAGGCTCGTGACTAGCCCATCCAAAGTCAGCGGCAAGACTCTCGACTGATTCTCCTGAACTTTCAAGAGCCCGAAATCCCCTTCATGCGTCGGACTGATATAGCTAACTCCCTCAAACGATCTCTGACCAGCCTCCTTCTTCAGGCGCTCGTTCTCGGCCAGGATCGCTGCATCTGGGCTGCCCGTGGCCTGCCAATCTCCCTTTCATCAGCGCCTTGCGTCCCCGGCTACAGGCAAACGTCCCCGGCTGCCGGCCCATGATGGGGCCCCAAAATATCCCAAAGATTACAAAGATCCCCCTCGGGTGCCCTCAGAGCCTGAGGTTGCGGAGCGCTGGCACCCCCACCCATGGCATGACGCCCGGCTTCAGGCTTCGGAGGATTTGCAAACGTCCCACAGCGTCCAAGAGAAGGCGGGGCTAGGAGAAAGCTGGAGGAGGTCTCTCACCCTCGTTGCTACGTGCGCATGTTCACACCCCGGATCTTGCCTAGAAACTACTTGGGCCTAAAAGCCAAATGCATTCGGCAAGAAACCTTTGTCAAAAGAAGCATCCCAATGTCGATCGCACTGTATGCTCGAACAGCACCACACAAGCATCACACGCACTGCATACTGCCAGACACCATCATGTATATCACGTTGTGCAATCGCAAAAAACTCGGGGCTCGGGGCTCCCATGAAAACTCTCCGCTTCCGAGTCGCATCGAAGTCTTCCTCCTGCGATGCGGCCACCGGCACGCGCTCGGAGCGGAGCCCGAGCCTGCTGCGAGAACCAAAGCGAGAGCGCGAAATCGTAGAACTACGCCGGCGAAGCGGTTGCATCCGAGTTTAGCAAAGATCACGGATCCCTGTGCCAGATCAGTCCAAGAGTCTGTGAGTCGAAGAAAGCTATGGGCTCTTTCTGCAGCAGCGCAACATCCTGCGCGATTCCGAGAATGGGGGCATCTTCGACATCTGGAGAACTGCCCACTGCCTGCCTTCCATGCCAAGTCTACATTAAGTTAGCAAGCAGGCTCCTGCGGATCCGCAACTGCTCTCAGGCGCCTGCAGCGCTTGAGCACAGACCAGGAATAGTTGCTGCATCACAGTCACGATACCAAAGCCGAAGCCATGGACCCTACCAATCAACTCCATCCATCTGTCGGTCGCCTTGAGAAAATCTCGTAGCGAAGACAGCCCCCAAAGATGCCGGACCCGGCCTGAAGTCCACGAAGCTCCCCTTCACGCCCTCGCCAATGCACATCGACAAGGCAAAGTCGGGCACCGACTTCTCAGGCCTGGCAGAGAAACGCGAAGCCTTCTTCTCTTCTAAGGCCCCTTTGGCCCTACCCGTGAGAGGGTTTTGGAGTTTGGGGCTTTTTTGGGTTTTGAACTAACACAGCTCCTCTTTGAGACTCTCCGGACATGGTGAGCCTGAAGAGGCGTCGTGGAGCATCAAAGCTCGGGGCACTTCGACCATCGCGGTGCCACGTTGAGGCCTCGAAGGCCTGGAATCCCCAGAGGTTTTGGAAAATTTCAAGCTGAGGGCCTTGCTGAGAGCTACGAACAAGACGCGGCAACTCACTGGCCTCGTCCACGTCACGGACGAGCCCTTGGGGCTCCTTGGCAAGCCCCAAAAACTGCCGAATCGAAGACTGTGGGACTTGACTCGAGGTATCGACCCACGGACCGGCCTCGTCACCCAAAGCATAGGCGCTGGCTCCAAGCAAGCCGAGCACGCCTAGCAGAGACGCCTGCCAGCTGACTTCTCGTTGCTGTCCCAGACATGTTTGTGAATCCTGCAGACGTCACCCCCTATGGTCCATGCTTCTGCCTCCGACTCGAGGCGACGGCGCGCGATGGGGGTCTCGACCGGAAGCCCTCGCAACAGGACCTTGTGCAACGGCAGGAGTGGAAGAAAAGCTTGACCTGCCTTCACCCCCCGTTGTGCACACTGCACTCGAATCCCGAAAGCTGGCATAAAGCCCTTGAAGCCTTGTGAGACTTCGGGCCTCGGGAGGGAAACTGGAACCGACTGGAAAAATTGAGAAACTTTCCAGCTGCGTTACACACGCCGAGCCCGTTGGAGAGCTCAGACTCGTGAGAGCTGATCGGAGGTTTCGTGGCCTTGGCTCTTTCGAAGCTGGGAAATGCGATGATTTTGGAAGAACATGGGTTGCGTAGACCGGGGCAGGCCGGCAGAGCCCGCGCAGAGACGAGAAATCCAGGTCAGGCAAGCAGCTGGAAAGGAAACACTCTCAGTGCTTCCTGGCAATTGAAAATAAAATGATTCCAGGCGAAGTGGAAATGACTAGGCCTTACCGCCCCAATAGTCCTGTGCTGCGCTTTCCAATGCATCCTGCACCGGCACAGAAAGTCCCAGAGACAAGTCCAGTGATCAGCTCGGGCTCTCGTCGTTTGACCGCGAGTTCTGAAATCGAGCTGCAGACACAGAAGAGCATGCCTCAGACACAGAAGAGCACTCCTGGGAACGTACCCGCCGAAAGAGGCGTTGGAGTGCAGACCTGTAGTCACAAAGCCGACGGTCACGAGGGTGTTCCACAATTCTACTTGCAGCTGGGCGGGCCTCGCGCGCTCCTCAACCACGACTTCCGGCGTATGCTGCAGAGACTGCCAAGGAACAGCCGTGGACCGTAGTGACAACAAAGTCTCGTTCTCCCGTAGTGGCACAGTTTCAGTAGAAGGTGATGCCCACCATGATTTTGGCATGGTGCCGACGGGGCGCCTCTACATCCGGCGGGAGCTTGGGCGGGGCCTTCGCGAGACAGAGTGTCCTGCAAAGCTCGGTCCGTTCACGCTCTGACAGGCCCAGTGCTTTTCTTTGGGGTTTCTGGCCCGGCAGAAAAAAAAGCACCCTTCACGAAAACCGAACCGAGAGGTCCTGATCTCGGTGTACTGGTTCAAGTCCTGCACTGCAGTAGCAGAGACGTTGCTCATCGGATCCCTACTTTGTTCTCGCTGCAATCCACTGGTGTCTCGTTCTCTCACGGCATTCGCACATTCCGTTTATCGGCTCCTGTACTTCTTGGCTTTTGGAGCTTACCCCTCATCCGGTGAGTGAACTGAGCACACCCCCGGCGCCTGCTCTCCCAGGTCACCCGCGCGGCCAATGCCGGACTCGTCGATTCCCCCGAACCTGGGGCCGCACGCGTCTAAGACACGGGCTTAGACCTCCTCTTCGGGCGAGCAGCGGAGCGTTGCGAATGAACTCGCAGTGCTTGTTCACCCAAACTGTTCCGGCCTGGCCAACTTGTCTTTGTCGACAAGTCACGGGTGCAACTCGAGCTCAGCTTGAACTCACAGTGCTCTGCCTTCAGCCGGTTTGCTATCTCATTAGCCTGCAAGGCGGGAAAGCGAGGGGCAGAAGACTTCGAAGCGATCGCAGCCTTGTCGAAGTCCTGGCTCCAGATGGATGCGGAAAGGCCATAGCCTGGAGAGAGCTCTCCAGCTCTCAAGAGTCGCGAGAGAGCCAGCCCGAGCCAGCCCACCCCTGCGGCCCAGTGACGGGTGGCGTTTGCCCTCCGAACTGCCTCCTCGTCATCCTGCCAGGCATTCGTCGCACGCCTTGAGAGCTCCCTTGGGGGGCCTTTCGTCCGAGCCTTGTAGGACATCACCGGCACCACGGGGCCAAACTGCTCCTCGTCCACAAGCCGTGTGCCCTGCACAGAGCAGGTCTCCGGTCTTCAGAGAACCGTGCACCAGTCTTGATGCAGCATCAGCTCCTCTGCAACGTCGACCACAATGGTGGGAAGGTAGAACAAGCCCGTGTTCGAACCTAAGACGAAGATCATTCAGCTGGTCATCCGGTCAGGTTCGCGATGCCAGGCCCGTGGCCCTCGTCCCCAGGAGGCCCCGCAGTGGCCTCGGCAGTCATTTCAGGGACGTCAATGTCAAGTTTTACGGCTGGTAGATATGTTTGTTGTGCTCGCTCAGCTGCTTGCCTGCTTAGCTTGGGTTTCTGGGAAAGTCACTCGTCCGAACCCACTGCTGGTGCTACCCTTGTAGACGTGGACAGCGATTTGGTGAGGTTTCTACAGCATTAACCCTCATCTCACCGACTATGCTTGCCGGAGTCGCACAGTACTGACTGCAGCCCAGGCAGAGGCCCTGGCCCCACCCCCGCACAAAACTCGGCCACCTTTCCGGCGGGCATCCTGGAAGGCAGACAAAGGTTTCAATCTCGAAGACATCCTGCCTTCTGAAGAAGGCATGCAGGAAATCAGCAAAACCTAGAGATGACCGCGTCCTCGACCAATTCCATTACATGGCGAAGTTGCACTGCACTGGCCTGCGCGAGGCTTAGAAGCCGTGTCAACATGATGCCACGACCCGGCTCTGGCCATCGGCCGACTATGTTTTGTAACTCACTGCAGCCCAGCCGCCAATGGGCCAAGTTCTGTTCCAGACGACAGCCCGTTGCCCAGCACCGCACGCCGCGCGCGGGCCACAAAGGCCTGCGACGGCAAGACTGGAAAGTCAACCGCCGAGCGGCGAAAGGAGTCCAATCTCGTCCAACAAACGAGTTGGGGGCATGTTGGGGGATGCTTACATTCTTGCCAACCTGCTAACACCTGGGCATATCTGGACATATTGCCATCACTTGCATTGGAGCCGATGTGGTTCCCAGTGTGCAAGCCAAAGCGGCCTTGACGAACTTGTCGTAAATCTTTTCCTTCCACATTGGACATGACGAGCAAGGCAAGAAAAACATCAGCCCCAAATAGCAGGAGCGAACCACAGGATGTTGGAGGCGACGCATTGGAAGCAAAAGCTGGAAACTCTACCGCCGCGTCACAGAATGTCAAGAGCAGTTGCAGGCTTTGTAGATTTCAGGCTATCACAGGCACAAGTTCAGATGCTCAGCGAGTGAACTTTCTTACAGCTTTGAACATACTGATCCCGATACCTGAACAACTTCCACTGCTTCACCCCCTCGTGACAGCACGCTTTAGTCCTGAACGTAGATGCGCTTTGCTGCACAACAGGTCTGGCCGTTGTTGAAAAACCTCACGCATCTGAAAGACCGTCGGTGCGCAGATGCGACTCCACTGACTCTACTGGTAAGATCAACATTTCAGGTTCGTCTTCTTGGAATTGGTGCCACCACTCTAGCGCTTTGCCATGCAGGCACAAACTAAGTGCCCTTCATAAGTCGGAGCTTCGTCTATCAGGCTTGTCTCTCTTTCGATTGGTATGCGTGCCCATCAACCTGCACATACATGCAGACCACCATTTAGGTCTGCTCTTATGCTCTGGGAAGCCTTGTTGTAGACACAGTCGCAGCCCAGGCACGCTCCCTTGAAAAGGCCTTCGGCCGCCTTCTCTACGTCGCAGTCCTCTCGCACGATCCTGGTTAGTGTGAGGCTGCACGGAAAACCGTCACCGGAAAACCTACACAAAAGCTTGATGCAGTGAGGGCTCGCGGGATCGTTGCCTGAGCCCATCAGAACCACTTTGAGGGCCCTCAAGGCCCTCGCAGGTCTGAGCTCAGCGCCTCCCAGCTCCAGAAGCAGCCGCTTGAAGCCTTTGGCACAAGCCTCCATGACCTGGCGGCTCACAGCTTGGGCAGGGCTGCGTTTGGAGGCTTTTTTGGCAGAGCTGCGGGTGAGGATTTCCAGTTGAAGTGTGGATCCTGTGCGGAGCACAAGCTGACACTTTGCTCCGCCTTGCTGCCAATGGCAGTGGAGCCTGTGAAGACCACCTTCCGCACCTGGGACATCACATGTCATGCAATATCATGTGATGATATAAAACCGAACAATGCCGAATAGGCATCGAGTCACGAAGCAAACTGGCATGAAGTGGCAAAAGCACACTTTGGGATGGAGACTGCTAGTATAGGAGCATTGCAATGTCATACCGACAGCTATAGCATGATACCGGAAGACTAGCGACAGCAATGACAGTACCCATGCACGTCAATGTTCATGCAAAACAAAACGAAAAACAAACCACCGTTTTCTTGCAGGCAGAGTGCAAGGTCATGGCTCGTCAAGATCTCGCCGGGCCTGCCAAAACAATCAAACACGACAATGATAAACACCATAGCTATCATCATTATCATCAGCATGTCCACGTAGTGCAAGTCATGCGCGAGCATCTTAAGACACGCCTCGGGGTGTTGAGGTCTGAACCGACGACGACATTGAGCACTCCTGGTCCCAGAGGCGCACTGATGATGCTCCCGCTTCTGCACTGAGGGCACCTCGGGGCAGCAGCGATCGGAGCAGCTCCCCGATTCGCAGCGTTGTCAGAGGCGTTTGCGGCGCGGGCTTCAGCACCACCTGAAGCTGGAGCGGCTCTGCCAAGTTATACAGTCAAATTTCTCGTATATACGTAGTATAAGAACACGACACCCGTTCGAAACTTCTCAAATCACCTTGGTTCACGGTTCTCTTCCTGATCAAGAAACCGGGTTTCCGCAAGCCAATGCCGTAGCCGTCGGTTTCCAGCCGAGCACAATGGGTGCATTCCATGGCCTTAGTCTCAAGAAACTGCAAGAACTCCATAAACCTCAAGCTTTCCTCGACACAAGGGGGAGATTTCCGCACCAGACCCACAGGACTGATTGACGTGGAGTAGCGCGATCACTGCCACCACGCCCACGGGCATTCGACGAATGACGACCTCTCAGCAGAAGCACGATCCGGCCTGACCAAGGCGATTCTTTCAGAGCCTTCTTCTCTTCATCCTCCGAGATCAACCGCTCCTGCAGGCAAGCTAGAGATCCTCCGAGGATTTACAACATGACCCTGAAACACTGAAGTACTTACTCTAGGCTGTCACAAGGCACAGGCCTGGCTGACGTCCAAGAAACCTGCTCGCGGCACTGGTTTCGAACAATAAGTCAATAAGTGCCGGTTCCATGTGCGATTCTCTGCAGCTACACCGTAGCAGCATCTCACCACCAGCCAGGCGGCGTGCAGCATTTTCAAAGGAAGCTGCAGCCACGATGACCTGCGCACAGCATCCCATGCAACAAGCATGCAGGGCGGTTTCAAGTTTCGAGCGGAAGAGCTCAGTCCACTCCGAACCAACAGCTTCTTAGCCGCCGCTCCCCCTCCAAACCCAGCAAGCAAACAACGACCTCCAGCCGCGTCTCCGCCAGCGGTCGCCCACTTTCGTTTGTCTGGAGTGTGGCCAGTGCCTTTGGTGGGAAAGAACAAGGGTCCGGACCCCGTTTCGAAAGAAAAGACAGTGAGCTCTGTGAATCTCTGTGAACTCCCCTCCTCTCACCCCGTGCTTCCCAAGCCTCGAGGTTTGCCCTGAGCGCATCAGCACAAGACCTCGGAATGGGCCCTCATCCTCTTGAGGACTCGCCGTGACCGTCAGCGAGATCTAGAAACTGCTTGCAGCTTTCCCGGAACTCCGTGAGACTTCCAGCTGCTCGCCGAATGATCGGTGCAAAGACCACTCCCAGCGGCTGAAGCATCGCCGCCCGCTCCGCATGTCGCAGCGCAGCCCAGCCCGGCGCCGCGCGCGCGGCCGCGACGACGGCGGCCTTTGCAAAGAGGGACCAAGGCCGCAGCAAACCGCCACGGCAACCGATTTAAAAAGCTCTCCTATCCCGGTCTTGGAGTCCTTTCTTTTCGACACCCTCAATTGGCACCTCAATCATCTCTTTCGATGCGTTGGGTGCGACGCCAACCAGGTCCCTTAGGCACAAAACGTGGGAGCCATTCCAATCACTTCAAACAACGCCTTGCGAAGGCACTTCTATAGAGTGGCAACGAGTGCTTGTAGATACTTCTGTGCCCTGCCGCAGTGGGAACAACAACCCATGTTCATTGCCAGCCTCACACTCATGGTTTTAAGCTGCTGAAGCTTCTTCTTGGCCCAGGCACCCCGTGGCTGGACTGGTCACCCGGAAGCTCCGCTGGGGAACCACGATCCGGCCTGGCTGAGTCGGCTTCGTCCGATTCCGCGCTTCGTGCAGCTGCTCGACTGTTGGGATAAAGCAGTCGAAGAAAACCGAGTTGTGCAGCAGGCGTTGTCAGGAGCAGCTCCTTGGAACGGGTCAGCTGAGATCCCCGGCCGTCAATGAGGAGGGGCGCCTTCTTGCTCAAAGGAACCTCCTCCTGTTGCCCAAAGGGGGGTTTCGGCAAGAACCGGCTGGTTCAGCAAGGAAAGTCTCTCTTTCGGACACTGCGTGCATGTGAATTGCCGCGTGCTGTGAAACTGAGTCTTCGGCATTCGTGTCCGGATCGTCATCCCAACCATCGTCTTGGAAGGTCAGTGTCGCAGCCTCGAGCGCCGTTGAGAGCGCCATTATGCGGATGCAGAGCGAGACTCCAGTGAGGCCCCGGCCGCCTGCGCACGCCTTCCGAGACGCCGACGCGCCGCCACGGCCGCTGCGGCCCCGAGGGCCGCCGGCACCTCTTTAAAAATCCAAGAGACATATGCGAAGCAAAGCTCTGGCAGGCGCGGGCGCGACGCGAGGCCCATGAAAGACGGAGAACATGCGAGGGATGGCGCCCAGCTGTGGGGAGCCAAAAGCGCCCCGCCACAACCCCCCCCCCGCCCGCGGCTTTCCGCCTTGGCTCGGCTCGAGCGACTTGGCTCGGAGAGGCCCCGCACCTCCGGCGCAAAGGGAATCAACGGCTGCCGCTGTTGTCATTCAGGTCTAAAGCCCAAAGTTTGAGGCCAAGGTCAAGGAGGGTGATGCACTCCGAACATGCATAGTCTCGTCGCTGCCACGCACGGAGTAGGCTTGGATTTCACTCATGTGAGTCGGCGTCAAAATTACTTGTTCATGCTGCTTTTGTTTTTGAACTAGTGCGTCCCCTATNNTTTTCCGAGGAATTCGCCTAAGGCACTTGCAAGGACCAAAGTATAAGTAACCCTATCGTTTTAGCGCGTCCCCTATCGATCTTGCGGGTTCTGGCTCAACAACTACCCTCTACACTAAACTACATTAACGATAAGTTTGACCCCATCTCATGTGGAGTCCTCATGGCTCTCCCCCACGGCGCGTCTGGGCAAGTCCTCAAGACAAGTCCATACAGAAGCCATTCATCGACAGCAGATCTAAGACTCTTAATCGTGCACAGAGCTGCAAAAGTAGAGGGGCCGCAAGGACATCCTTTCGCGCTTTCCCTCCATGGTCCTGTTTCAGGACCTGGGAAGGGCCAGCGTGCTGCAGCATCGGCTCCAGCGGCCGGGCACGGGAGAAACCCGGAAGAATCGAATCTGCAATTGCGGGCCTTCTGCTTGCAAAACCTACAGTGTCCTACAGGCTTAGGGCATTCTAGGCCTCTAGGCTGTTGACAGCAAGGTCAGCACGATGTTGGCTTAGGTTCACTACGGCGCGTGCAAGATGTGGGATCGGGTCGGTGATCGTGCGCGCCGGATCGAGGCTGAGATCAGCTGTAAGCCCCAAACAACGCATACACTGTAGGCTCCAGACTTCAACCATGCCGAAACGGACTTTTGAAGCAAGCACTACGCTGACACGCCTCGCACTACTCCGGTCCGTTCTCCGACGCTGCACTAGCACACCAACCGCTGGCCAACATGCCCCCTCGGCTCTGCGCACTGTGGGAGCCACATCTGCAGCAATGCCAGCAATTCGCGACAGGGCCTTCCGTGGGCGAAGTCGTGGCGAAGGGGCTGTGCTGTCGACGGCGGGGGTTGAGTATCGGGAAGGCTACAAAGTCTTGTAGTACACCCGCCTGGCGGGTCCCCTTCACTGCAAACCCCGGACACCTCAAAAACGAGTCAATGCAGGTTTCAGCTCGTTTTCGATTCTCGATTCTTATTTCCTGACCGCAGCATAGTCCACACAAGCGTCTTAGGCTCGTCAGGCTTCGCCATGGCCGGACAAAGGAGGAGCTCCTAGCCCGCCTGTCACGTGCAGGTTGTGCTGCGCATGCGACGGGCTATGAGTGTCCTTAGCTTAGTTTCGAATTCTCAGTTGCATTCTACATGCAATGCATACATCAACGGAGCGACGCAATGAGTTCATGGATTGGATTGCTTGGCCACTGTCATGAGGCATTCAGCCTCTGGGCGATCGGGGTCGAGTCTTGCTTGACAAAAGAACCTTGAAGCTGATACCATGGAATTTTGTCCCAATGATCTCTGTGACATCTGAATACAAAACAGATGATTGCTTTAGCTCCCCATAGCGACCTGCGACTGCCCAGTCTTGGCACATGTTCGAGCCGCATGCAGGCCTTAGATGCCGAGCCTGAGCTGTACATTTGTCGGCGGGGCCATGCACCAGAACTGCCCTCAACAACGATTCGATGCATACTCGTCATCACCGGGGGCATGGTCTGGTCGCTGCGTCGCATCGTCTGCGCCGATGCTATGCAAGCTGGCCATGGTTGGAAAACGAAAGCAGGCATCCCCCGCACAGCCAAACCACAAATCCCAAGATGATCAAAAGCACGCCCCCACTGGCCGACTTTTGTGGTTGTGGCTTGCGGTTTGTTGCCTACCGGCATTGTACGGTATTGGGAGGCACAGGTACCTCATCTAAAGAAGCCCGTGCGGCCGCTTGGCATCACACCACAGCAGCTCGTGCAGGTCAAAAGGATCCTGACGGGAGTCACGCGAAGAAGGCCTGCCGCCTTCGGAGCTCAAAGGGCCTTCCTTAAAGGAACGCCGCTCCGGAGTCGCACTCACCGCCTTCCTCACTGCGACTTCATGGAGATGCCGCAGTGCTGTTCAGTCTGACCAGTTCTACCTGCTCAGCAAATTCACCACCTTCGAAGCGCACTTACATCCCAAACCTGCGCCGCAAGGCCCCAACCTCGCTCTTGCTTTCAGCCTCAGCCTCGGGGCTCTTCCAGAACCTCGCAAAAAGCGAGCCCAGGAGAGTCGGGTGAAAGCAATGCTTTGGCGCCAAACCAGTCCGGGCTGCTCGTTGCAAAGGATGCCGGCCAGGACCAGGAAGCCACCAGCCATGTCAGAGGCGGTGAAGATCTGCCAGCTAGAGCACGGTGCTCCGATCACGAAGCCCCTGAAGCTTAAACCAAGATTGGAAACCCGAAGAAGCCCAATGCAATCGCCTGATTTTTCTACGCCGCCGGACACGCCGCCCAAACTATCAAAGAGCTGTGCCTCGCCGAGGAAAGCTGTGGCAGCCAGAGCTGCCCAAAGAGGCTCGGAGGCCACGATGAGGGAAACCTTATCTAGCATTATCGATCTACCTAAATACATATATATATACATATATATATACATATATATAGATATAGATATAGATATATATATATACATACCTTCCGGTCTGTCTGTCTGTCTGTCTGTCCAAGTCTTGAAGTCATGCATCCCTACCCACCTACCTACCTGCTCGCTCGCCTGCATGCATACATACATACCTACCTACATACATTCACTCATTCATTCATGCATACATATATTCAGTCATGCATACATGCAAGCACCCATGTGTACATGTATGAACTAACCACGACTTACTTGTTCAGCTTTTCTTTTCTCAAACATAGTGCGTGCTGAAGGCTTGGCCATTTCGTGATTCGCATTTTTTCGAGCTTCGGAGCTCAGAGCTTGTCTGCAAAAACGACGCAGGGACAGCTTTGTTTTGGGGTCAGAGTAAGCCTTCCTGTAGGGAGGCTTCACATTTCCGTTGATACGGGTGATACCAGTGACATGTCTGGCATCAAGCTGGGAGCCGGACGTCAGATGCCTTGAGGCGCTTCATAGCCTCCTGGACGACAGCAGCAGGCTTGTATCGCATGGCTTTAGGGTCCTCTGTCCAGAGAATTAACCATTCGCAAACACCACCCAACAGGAGATTAAGATCATCAATCACTGACGAGCATCACTGCTGAGTAGCATGGTCACCGTGTTGCCAAAGAAAGCTGAAAAGAGCAGCGCCGGCAGTAGACCTCCAAGCACAGGTCTCAGTGAAAAAAAACACTGTGACACACGTGTGTGAGGACAGTTCTCTTTCCAATCGCTGGTCTATCTGACTGTTTCTTCACCATGGTGTCCCTATGGTAACATACTGCAATACATTGTATATTTGTATGAACTGTATAGTAATGTATCACCTAAGTATCCTCTGCAGGATTGATGTTGCAATAGACTATGCTCAGAGGACGAATTATGTAAGCATGAAACCTCTTGCACCTCCCGACATACGCATGTATATACGTGTAACATACAGACTGCACAGGGCTGAACAGTCGTAGTTGAAACGGCTCAAGACAAACCATAGGTTCCGTCATGGCGTGTGTGGGACTCTTGGGTTGGTTGACCAGACACTCAGAAAGCATGCTTGAATCACCCATGAACTCTTTGTCGCACAGGAGAATGTACATGGAGGGAGAGAGTAGAAGCCATAACAGCATCAGCTGACAGTATCCCCAGATCAACCATGCCAAAGTAGAACAGCTTCAAGAAGCGATCATGATGCGCCGAACCCACTGTTCGCAGGCCACCACAAGCGTCAGGTCAAGACAACCCCAAAACCGTCAAAACCCTCGGCAAACTTCATCTAAACCCACCCAGAATCCAGGAATTCTCTGTGGCATGCTACGTCAAGGCCCACAACACCCACACCCTGGACTAACCCCCCCCCCCCCTCCACAAGTCTCTCCGCTAGCTAAAGCCTGGCGTTTGCAGCAGCTCGGGAAAGTGGGTGGCACCCTGCAGCAGCCCCGCAGGCCCATGGCGTAGCAGCAGTTCACCCAGCGACCTCGAAGACTTTAGCCAAGGGGGGCAGGGACGTAGAAAAGAAGCTAGTGGCTACTGGCTACTCGCCCAAACCCTTTAGAAAAACTTGTTGAAGACACTTCGAAAGCTTTAGTATGATGTAGCCCTTCCGCGTATCTAAAACATCAGGTTCTTGCTCATCCACGTGGAAAGTCCAACATATCTTCGGTTCGACTCTTCACGAGAATTGTTTCAGAGAGCGAGCTTGCGGTGCGTGGGGGATTACCGGTTAGAGTCTACCTGTAGAGTCTAGAGTTTAGGATGCTCACTCTCATGCCGGATCGAGAAAGAGCGCTCTGCGCCAGGATTCCTCTTGCTGGTGTATGGCTTCCCAATTGCAGCCTAGCGGCCATACCGCGAAGAGCATCCCAAAGCACAAAAGTTGGATAGCTGCAGTGGGTGTGGCATCCTTTGGAAACTTCTTCGTGCTCTCGCCGAGCACATACCAGCCTCAACTGTCTCTGCTTCTTCACCACAGCAAGTCCCGTTTCATCTCTCACAAATGTGTCCGGCCTCTCCTGTTCCGCGCAGTCCAGAAGGGCACGCGACCCTTCCGCGTGTGAGTGCGCACTGGGTTGGTCGATCGACGACGAGCGTCGATTTACGGCGAGTTTGGAGGGGGCATTGCCCGTCAGTGAAACTAGACACCGCGTGCCCTGAACACTAATGACAAGGAGAGCCCACCCTCATGCCTTGCTCCATTCTTGAGAGCCATCAGAATTTGTAGCTACCGGCATCTCTCTTCTTTCGGCAGGGTTATGGGCAAGGGGGTTACCGGCATCTCTCTCTCTCTCTCTCTCTACCAGGCTTGGGGGTCAGGGTGTGTCCAACCCTTCCCCCCGCACGCGTACGCGCACCTGCAAGTCTCTCTCGCTCTCACTCTTTCTGTGGGCTTGGGTCCCGTTGTCCTCCGTGCCCGAGACATGCCACACCACACATTCTTTTATTGAGCGGCTGGGTGGAAGGAAGAAGGCCGACACCTTAGTCCTCACCGTGTGCTCTATCTTTTCTCTTTCGGTTTCTCGCTGTCCCACTCACTCTCTTCTTCCACACAGCCCTCTTCTTCTTCCTTCGGGCTTAAGGGGTGTCTCAAGCCCCCGGCCCCAAGGGGCCCCCCAGTGTTTGCACACACTCTCTCTCTCTCTCTCTCTCTCTTTCCCAGGGTTTGAGGGGCGAGTAAGGCCCCCCGGCCAATAGGCCCCCCATATATTATGGGGCTTTCGGGGGATGGTTTGTTGCAAGTTCTGTTCGAGCTCCGGGTCTTTTGTAGATTATTTTGTAGATATTTTTCCGGCTCACATGTAGATATTTTTCCGGTTCACATGTGCATACTCTCTCTCTCTCTCTCTCTCTCTCCTTCTTCTGCTTCTACTTCTTCAACTCAGCCAAAGGGAAGGCCTCTCTGTCTCTTCTCGCTCTTCTCTCCTCCTGATGCCTTCCTCAAAACCCGGTGATGCACTCATGTTCTATGATGGTATTCGATGGTAACAAGGAGATGTTGAGCTAGATCCTGGCTGCCGAAGCCTGGGCTGAGGTGCCGGCTGAGTCCGATGAGGATGGGTGAAGCCATGCATATGAGGTCACCGATTGTAGCTTCCACAGGCCCAGATGAAAACTCGAGCACGCCTACGCCACCCAACGCAAGAAGCGCCGAGCAGAACGTGCTCAAATTGAGCCGCTTGGCTGCCATAGAGCTCAAGGAGGCCACCTCGGATCCGCTGCCGCTGCTACCCCTCCCCCCTACGCCCACTGCAAGCATGCGAGCTTTGAGTCGGCCAAGGCCAAGCCACCACGGTGGTCTGAAGAGCAGTGATGAAAGCAGCTTTGGCGCCGGTGGTCCCGTAGGAGAAGGAGACGAAGACGGCGGCGTAGGCCACGGCCCCCAAACTACCCACCACGGCGCTGCTCCGGGCGCTTTCCGGAGAACTGGACTTCCAGAGCCAAGGCAACAAAGGCAACGCTGCCAGCACAAAGCGCAAGGCCCCGAAGACCACCGGGGCATCCTCGACCTGAGCAGCTGAGGACTCCAAAGACATAAATAAATAACATATATATATATATATATTTATATATATATATGTATATATGTATATATTGTTGTGTTATCCATTTTTGTTTCTTTGTTTGTTTTGTATTTATATACATAAAAGTGTATATGTGTGTGTCTACATACATACATACATACATACATACATACATGTGTGTGTGTCTGTACATGTCTATGTGCACATGTGTAGGTGCATGTGTCTGTGTCTATATATATATATACATATACATATATATATATACATATATATATACATATATATATATATACATATACATATACAGACACATACCGGTAGTGTTGTGCCTGTGTATGTGTGTGTATGTGTATGTGTGTGTGTATATATATATGTGTGTGTGTGTGTGTATGTGCGCGTGTATATGTGCGCGTATGTACATATGGAAATCTATTTACTTGCTCGTCTCTACTGATTTATCGGTTGATGCGCTTAATTGCTGATTTGTTTATCAACCTATTCCTTGTATACTCATTCTGCATTATACTGTACTATAGTGTGAAAACAGTCTGTTCTATTCTGGAGCCAATTTTTCCGGGCGACTCCTGCAGAACTAAGAGCATCGATGCCGGCCTCAAGGAAAGACGAAGCGAGATCAGAAGCCTCAACTCTATCATACAGTATGGTGTACAGTATCATAACATAGAAAGGAATAGAACACATGTATCATACAATATGGTATACAGTATCATAGCATACAAAGGAATAGAACAGACTAGAATAGAATAGATAGGACTAGAACATGAAAGAATGAATAGTACAGGAACATACAGTACAATGTTGTATAATGTACCTAGAGTACTCCTCTGAATCAATGTGGAGTACTGCAAAGAACATAGTCCTTGCTGTTTCCATGAAAGTTCCGCGTCCTTCGTGGAGATGTAGGAAGATCCCCAGCAAACGGCATTGAAGAGTGTGACACCCTTCCAGAAGTTGCCAGGGAGGCTTTCCACGATGTCCTTCTTGCAGAAGCTGGTTGGTGGCTCAGGCTCAAGCTCTCATATATGCATTTCTGAGCTTGCAACACCGCCACTCCGATCGCACTTGAATCATTTCAAGGATCCTTCCCAGGCATCACCTCTTGCCGGAGCCAAACAGCCTGGACACAACAATGCCACATCTGTCCTAATGAAGAGTTGCCGGTATCTCAATCAACCTTTGCTGAGCCGTAGTGTTTTCTAAATCACATCACAAGTTCACACTGTTGGGGGGGATTCCTGCTCGGGCGCTTCAGTGCCATGCTATGCAACGCGAAGCCTGCTGAGGGCTTGCACCGCAATGCACGCCAGGCCGTCGTTGCTCGTGTGGACCTGAACAAGTGCTCGGTAAGCTTTGGACATGTCCGTTGCGCCGTTTCCATGAAAGCAGTCTCTGCAAGAGCTGCTCCCTGTCACTGAGGGTGACACGATGACGCTTCGGAACCCTGTGTTTTAGGAGGCATCGGCGTTCGTGTTTAATGGAAAGAGCTGATCGCCATGCACGACGAAGTACGAATATACCCTGAAAAAAAGCGAATTCATTTGCACGCTGACGAGTGCATTAGTGGGACGTTTTGCCAAGTGTTCGGGAAACAAATACGGTCTCGGCTGGATTGTGCTCCAAAGTCTTGACAGGAGTTGACATCAGAAGAGTCGTGAAGCTTGGGTTGCACGGAGAGTCGTCTGTTGAGTTTTGACCATTCCCTCGCTTCATGGATGCAGGGGGTAATTGTCGTCCAACTTCTCAAGGTCGGCCGATCTACATAGCGTGGATTTCATCGACAGTCAGTCTGGCAAAGCACAACTTGAACTTATTCGGACACGGATGCCAACAGCAAATTACAACTAACGGCATCATGGGCAGGTGTGACGACGTTTGAATCGTCAGTTTGAGCACCGTTCATGTAGGCAGGGGGGTCCAGTGCGCATCCACTTCCCGGTCCAGTGCGCATCGGCAGGTTTCGCGGTTTCGGCAATCGGGCAGGGTTTAGGGTTCAGGGTTTGGGGCTCAGCGTTTAGGGTTAGGGCCCGGGGTTCCGGAGGGTGTAGGTTTGCGGTTTAGGGTTGAAGGGTTTAGGGTTTAGGGTTCAAATTTCGGGTTTAGGGTTTAGGCGTACGCTGTACACTGGACCGGAATGTGGACACACTGGACCGGAATGTGGTTTTACACTCGACCCCGTCCCCGTTCATGTACAATACAGCAGCGCCTGGGACGAAGGCCGTCCTGACGGAGTATCTCCTGCGCTTGACAAAGCCAGAGCACCCATGCTTGGATCACAAGCATGACGCACGGCTCGGCCAGTGTTCTAGAAAAGCTACACAAAAGACGAGACGCCTGTAAGATACCAGAGCCAAGACCATCATCAGGGACAAGGACAAAGTGGTGGAGCTCCTGCTCCTGTTCCGGGAAAGACAGAATTTCGAGGAAGACACGACAGCCAAAGCGAAGCCCCGGCCTTCGAGCCATGGCTCTGCTAGAAGTGGAGGCCGCCATGCTTCTTGCGCTACAATGGGCTTCTGGGCCAAATGGCTCGGAATGCATTGCTGGCAGAGTTCGGTTACCTTCACCTGGCTGCTAGCTACGAAGAAATTCAACACTGCGACCTTGCAACTTGTGGCGGTGGAAGACAATCCCCGTTGCCTGCTTCACATGCTCGCGCTTCCAGTACAACTGTGACTCATAGCTGAGGTGCCTTGGTGCGACACAAATCATGGCTGATCTTTATCGCGGTCTGGTTGCGACTTGCAAAGGACCCGAGCTTCCGCTCGACTGGGGCGATCGCTGATACTGGCAGCCGCTGCACTGCGTGAAGAGAGGGCACCTGCAGACGCTGTCTGAACGCATCTTTGAGAGGTGCTCCTGTCGCAGCGCGCGAACTCGCCCCCCTGAGCCTTGGCGCCGCTCGCTCGGGGGAGGCTTCCAGGATGCGGCACAGCCGAGCCTCTCCACTCGAGAAAAAGAACTCAAAGAAGCTCCCGTACAAAAACCCGAAACTTAGAACTCCTAAAGGCACTTCTTTCTGCAGCCTTGCCTCCGAACGGCTGCGGTAGTTCCGCACAATCCGCAGCCTCGCCCAGCCAGGAAGGCTTTCGGCTGCAATGGTCTCAAGCTTCGCTGCGGTTCCCTTACCTCGAGGACTCTAGAATCTAGAAGCCCGTACCAAGGAATCTGGAATTTGATCCAAGTCCTGATGTCCCACACCTCTTCAATCCTCGAAACTTGCCAGGAATGCTGAACAAGCTCGCGTGGGAGCGCACCAAATATCATGACCTCGGAGGCAATCTGGCTCGGAGCTGTAAAGCGGCAAAGGCGAGTTTGGTAGTGGTCTGCTGAATTTCATCGACAAAGTGACCACCCATCGCGTCGGACCAATCCGCCCGAGAGCCTGGCATCTCTTGCATTTCCGCAACAGGACACCAAAGGAAACCCCGTCTTCCCCCATCGCCAAGCCAAGCCTCCGGCCCGAAATTTCGAGAGCACTCAAGAACGAGAAAAGCCATGCCACGGAACTCTGCGCCTGCCCCGAGCTGGTCAGCGTCTCCATTCGCATTTCCAGAACCTCGCCCTCCTGGGGGTGCTCGTGGAACAGCTCAGCTCTCCCGCTGATACCGTGTCAGATTCTGATGCAGAAATGACTACCTGACTACCTGTGTCCGTGAAAGAACACTACTGCGATGTGCCGCAAAGTCGACTGGCCTTCTCTGTCACTTCTGCGACATATCCGACATCTCAACTCCGCGTCGCACCTTCACAGGAGGCCCTGTCGACGCTGCTCGACAAGAGCGACACCTTCTGCACGTGGATTTTGGAAGCATGACATGTTGTGTCACTGCCGCTGCTGGAAGCATCGAAGAACTCCAGAACCCTCCACGAGCGACCTGGGCAAAGGCGCCCACAGCGCACATCGCAGGGCTGAGCCTCCAAAGCAGGCTGAGATAAGCCTGTTCTGTATCTCCAGCCGCGACAACAAGGTACTGGAGATGCAGATAGACCTGCTCTTGCCTACAAGTTCGTCCCTTTCGCTTCTCTGCGCCTGCCAGAGGACGACCTGCCAGGCCCAGTGGCGAGCTCCTCAATACGAGCAGAGGCGGTGAGCCCTGTAGGGGGGGGCAAGACAACTTTCCGATGCTATGATATCCAACTACACGAGCACGAAGGAGGGAAGCATCGTGGATCTGAGCAGGATCAAGGGAATGCCGAGGGGCGGCATAAATCTTTTGGGACACTAACAAGCAACAGCTTCTTCGAGCGTCGGTAAGCCAGACGTCCGATCATGCAAGCGAGCGGCCTCTGTGCCATGGCACAGAGCTGATGCTGAATAGCCGCTCTCTCTATGCGGAGATCAGGTCATGATCTGCATGCTGGAAGAACTGACAGCTATGGGGTATTGAAATTGCATCCGAAGTGAGGAGTCTGCAGAGGTTTCAGTTCACATCTCGAGGACTGACATGAGCCTGAGGATGCGCAGGACAGGTTGTAAGGACAGAACAGTAAAACCTCTCAGCAGCAGCAAACTGGTGAGCGAAATATCATAGAAAAACATGGCTGGCACACAGATCCACATGTTATCGCTAGCCGCCAACGCTAGTTCATGCAGCCTCCTTCTCTAAAGCTCTGCTAGGGCGCGCAGCCTTTTTTCCAGCTGTGCTCGTAAGGAACGCGTCAAAGGTCCCTGAGCGAAGGTCACCAGTAGCCAGTCCGCCAGCGAGATCTCATCGCTCGCCGCTCATGGCCACATAGGCTGTGAGGCAGCCTGCTGGAATCTGCTAGATGTGGCTTTCTGCCCAAGCGGTACTTGATGGACTCCAAAATCACGCTGCGACATGCAGCCCTGCCGGCTACCGAAAGTCATATCGACTCAACTTCCCACCACTCAGCCGGGGGAGCTTATCCTCTCTTGGCTGCAGGCCTGGCGACCGGTGACGTTGAGCAGAAGGGATTCGCGCAATCCAACAGCAAATCATCCGAAGGGGAAGGGCAATGCACGGGCGAGCAACACTTCTGTTCCTCCTGCCAAAACGTCACCACTCCTCTGAAACTGACATCACATGTCGCAGGGCAGAAGAACTTAGTGAGCTTGGCACAGGTGTCTCCGATCCTGCTATCGCCTCCCCAAGAACCCTTTCAAGAACCGTGCGAGCACCCAGGATGCATCACACAATTTACAGGCATCTAATACCCTGTGATGACATGACCCAGAAATACACTCTTCCAGAACATCGACTACAACCCGCTTTCATGCACCTGCGCCGAACAGACGATGCTTGGGACCTTTCCCCTGAGGGGAGGGCAGTCGAGCATAAGCCAGATTCGCAGCAGCGTCAAAACGTTCGTTTGAGTTGTTTGCTTTTGTGCCAACTTTCATTGACCAGAAACTGCCTATCTAAGCATCTGAGCGGCATGATGTCGTCATGTGTGCTTTTGGAAGCCTCTGCGTCATTCCTCAACCTCCTCTTGAAAAGGCTTCCGCGATTACATGGACGGCACACCTGAATGACCTGCACGCTGGGCGATAGCCCTCATCAAACTTTCCGCATACCCAGACCCACAGCTGCTTCCCATGCGTCTTAGATGTCCAGAAGCCAAAATCACCAGGAGCCCCGAATGGGGTCTCGGCGCTGTTTCGCTGAGGCGCGGCGTTGCAGTGCTGGGACCTGGGAGGCGTAGGAGGCGGTGTCAAAGGAAGGAAACTAGGTAAGCTCTAATGACTCTAACGGAAAGGATTCGAGGCGAAGGGTTGTGGCTGAGAGGCCCTTCGCCTTCAGTTCCGGACTCTTTCGAAATTTGTCAGGCTTCCGCAGGCTCAACCCCCTTCCATCTGCCCTCGACTGTAAGTGCAGACACGGCCAAGGTTCAGATCTGTGGACGGACTACAGTATCTTCCAGAGTGGATTGGTCGCACGACTGACAGTAATTTTGAGGGAAAGCGCTCTCGAATTTTCACGCACCTGCGAGTCGTGCATGCAATGGTTACGCAAATATGAGACTTGTTTCACAACGGTGCTACCCGGCTGAAAAATCCTGATTCTCCGGGAAGCTCATCTGTGCTCGGTGCTTCTATGCTCCCGCTTGCTGGCAGCATTAATGGCGATGAGTTGCCAACTCATCTGCGATTCAGAGACCGGTCCACGGTCACGGTCCTGCACAGTCAGCATCATGAGGCATGGGCATAGGCGGATGTCCGTCCGCCGGAGGTGACAAACCTCGAACTTCTTGCACATGCACAAAGTGGAGCTAGGGCCGCAAGCTGACCTCCGAGGACCTGGCTTGATCTCCCGACCTTTGCCATCGACAGCTTGGCTCGATCCCTTCGCCTGCAAGACCACAGACCGCACGCGGGCTTCTGGGACTTAGGGCTTCGCGCTTCTCCGGCTTACAGCCTCCAGCAGTCTCGGCAGCTCCAAACTGAGGAGCCGACCCAGCGATAGTGGAAAAGCCATGTCCTGCGTCTTGAAGCCCCGGGCAGGGTCCGACTGACACGAACAGCTTGTCATTGCTATTGTTGCTACTACGTTCAGAGAGCAACTGCCCTTGTCTTTGTTATTGCTCTTCCTATGGCTGTTAAACGTGTCATCATGCAATAGCGGCAGGAACGGCAACGTGGTGCAGTAACAGCTGCAGGGATGAGCCGTCGTCGTCGTCGCGACGATAAAGACGATCACGACGATGACCATGATGACTATGATGATGATGATGATGATGATCATGATGATGACGACGATAACCATGATGCCGATGCTTCACAGGACCCGAAAATGCTGGGACCCCGGCCTTGGATACCTCGCGGCTTCTGCTCCGGCTTTGCAGGCCACCGAAATCACCAAACGAAGGCTGCGGTGCAACTTGGCGACCTGGGCCAAAACGGAACCGAAAGTGCCTTCTGGTGCGTGCAGGTGCCTTGCAAACATGCCCAATCCCCCATTGCAAGTCAAGGGCAAGGCAGCTGCCGGTGCCAAGTCGGAGCAGCGTTCCTGCGGCGACTTCTCGCAGCACAGAGCATCTCAACCTCCTCGCTTCCTCGCCTGCTTCCTTAAGAGGGAACCAAAGACCGCCACGGTCGTGCCTGCGGGTGAATCGCAGCCTGGAACAACCTTAGTCATCCAAGGACAGAGAATGATGCGACTCGAGTTGGGCCAAAGCAGGCGTGGCGATTTCTGTGGATTTAAGACTCGTTTCCTTTCAGCACTCGGAGTTCACTATTCACACACAGCCTTGGACTTTGACACCTCATCAGCAACCCAGTTGCCGACCTCAGCAAGCAGCGAACAGCTGGCAGCTTGCGTTGGTGCGAAAGCAGTACGGGTGATCTTCAAAGTGGCTTTGTCTTGCATCTGTGCAGCCCAAGGCTGGCGCCCCAGCTGCAAAGCCCTGATCCAGGAGCACTGCCTGCAAAACGCGAGAGGCACAAAACGAGCCTCTTTGGCTCAAGAACCGACATGTGATTTTGCGACTTCTGCGGCCTTGATGTCGGCACTTCTCCCCCCAAGTTGCTCAGTGAAGCTTGCCAGCTTCGGCCTTGCCCAACACCACGGAAAAGCGATGAAGTTCCTCCAGTTAACGCTTCCCAAGCCCGGAACATGGCAAGCAGCGGATCAAAACCTCGCCGGGGCCAGCAAGAGGCATCGACGGCTTCTCGGAGGGGAGCGGGGATCTGAGCCTCCGGGCCCATGTGACAGACAGGCGGACACTCCCATGGCTCCTTGCAGAGCCTCACGAGGAGAGACCATGAGAGGGCTCTCCAGAAAGTAGTTCAACGAAGGAAACCTTCCAACCAAGCCCAAGCCGCCGGATCCGACCGAAGCGACGAGCGTCGGTCATCGCAAAGCAGGTGCCATCTGCCATTTGCAGCTCCACCTCCAAGCCATGCACTTCTCCCTAGGACGCAAGGAGGGGGGGAGGGGGAGGGAGCGTAGCTCTGTCGTTCTGTGCAGGGCTGCATGCACTGCAAGCAGCGCGCCTTCCAGAACTTTGGTGGCCAATTGTTGGGATCCTCCTGCTGCCGAGTCATGACTCCAATGCACTTGGCCAGTTGAAATGAGGAGAGCACTTCGGATGGGGAAGCATGAGAGAACAGCCGAAGAACAGCGTGAGTGCAATGATCAGCTGATATCACTGTGCCTTCCATGCACGGCTCCGATCTATCCGCACTCCTCCTTCTGCTTTACGTAGACGAGGGCTTTCTTGCCCTTTATGCGAAAGCTACCAGTCCTTCGCAGGGTCAGATGTGTTGTCGATCCAGCTTGTGCTGGACACAAGCTTCAGAAAAACTAGCCAGAACTAAGTCACCGGCATGCCGAGATGGAACATCGGAGATGGCCTGGCATGTCCACATCTACAGAGGACGAAATTGGTCTGCCAAACCTCGTCAGCAACACCCCTTGTCCATGTCAAACCATAACTGCTTGCCCCAGCGCCTTCAATCAAGCACAGTCAACTCCTAGTAGTCTGATAAGTTGCATGCGCAGCACCGCAAACTGTTACATGCGTATACTTTGACCCTTGCCGGTCGGTATTTTCGTCCACGAATGCCTATATGCGTGCGTTGAGGCCAATGCAAAGGCCAGTCAATCCCAGTGTGCGAATGGGCAGGATGGCACGTTATCTCACATGCCCACCCCTGTACATCCGGTGGGCAAACTGCCTCAGGCAAAGCTACAAAACCGCCTGAAAGACAGTCCCATTGCCATGGAATTGATGGCGATGCAAAAGCTGTGCACGCGGCATCTGTACAAGCGCGCCAGAAAGTCTAACACGAGTGGACTGACAGTTTGTTGCAAGCGTGGCCAAGTGCGGCTCATGCCAGGACAGAGCACCATGACACTGGGTGGTAACAGCTAGCGGCATTGCCAACACTTGCGGTAGCACCACAACTGCACAAAAGGCCATCCCGATTGCAGAGGGGAATCTGGAAAACCCGAACTGGTCCTGGTCATCGAGAACACGGTGGAAAATGTGCCACTAGTTCGCAGCATCTGAATATAATTCATATCGCCATTTGGAGCAGGGCATGTGCCATGCGAAGGCTTGCATGCAACACGTGTACAAGCTCCACCTGCCACACGTGGATCGAATTCCTTAGGGAATAATAATAGGTGAAACGGAAAGAGTCTTGGTCGGAGTATTGGCACCTCTGGGCAAGCGCACGGTGGACAAGCACGAGATGCGTGTCTCGTGAATCCAGCCGCCGCAGGTCCGACGTTCGGACAGATGGAAGAAACGATATGCTTCCCAAAAGCAGACTTCCAGCCGGAACTTTTCTACTTGGAAGATACCCCTCGTTGCCTTAGCTTCATGGAGACCAATGATGCTCAAGTGGAGACGGCAATCAGGACGACACCTGCACATGCTGCATTTGCGGCAGGTCGGCAACATGTCGAATGTTGCTGCCAGCAGAAGAGCAACTACCAGGTAACTACCAAGTAAGACTCGCCCCGGCCTGGCAGCCGCAGCGCCAAACCCATGCCGGCCCAAAATCGGCCTCTCTTGCTCTTCACCTTCGAGGAGTTTTCCGGGCTTCTCGAAAGAAGGTTTAGGGCTTAGGGAACGTCTGGCCCTCCGGGCATCGAAAATCAAGACAGACATTTCGGTGCTGCATGTACCTGAATTGAGGCCAGAGCCAACTCCGATGGTTTAGCTGAACACTGAGAGATGTGTGGCAGTTGCTAGTGGTGTTTGGGCAAGGCATTCCCTGACTGTAACAGGGAACCCGAAACCTGGGTGTTTCCACTTAGGGCGCCTCTCCAAAAAAGACCATGCCCACAATCAGCCCGACGACACCAGGGAGGCTGCCGATGATCGGAAAGGCCACCGAAAATCCCAGGTCGGTGTTGGCCTCCCGGACACACGGCCGGGTCTCTAGGCTTTAGGGTCAGGCGTTTAGGGAGGAAGCTCAAGACATTCTGGCCTGGAACCAGGCAACCTGAGCAATGCCCCAAAGGACGCCCGAAGCAATCGCCGGAAGGATCATGCGGCGGGGCATGTAGCGCCTTGGAGCTCGGCTATCATCGTCTCACGCACTACGTATCGACCTCGACCTTTCACCGTGCCTCTCCCTGCGCACACCAGAATAGACGACCATGGCCGCAGAAGCAGAGACGAAGATGCCAAGGAAGTGGCTGAACACGTAATCCATAATCTCGGCAGACCAAGGTAGTTCTGTTGAGTACATGACTTCGTCTATAGCTGCCCTTTGCAACAGCAATCTCCGATTCTATAGATGGCATCGCTTCACGCCCTCTGTCCAACACTCAGACATTGCTCCCTGTTTTTTTACCTTGCTGGTTGACAGTCATGTATCTGGTTGATCCTTTGCTGGTATGTTCAACACTACCACCACTATCAAGAGAATATTCATCATCCTTCTTGGCATAGCCGATGCGAGTACTGATGATCTTAGTGCTTGCTACCACTGATTCCGAATCATAGCAATAGGAATTTATGATGACAGTGACAACATGAGTACTGCAACCATCACAAGAGCGGGCATAACAATCGCGCAGCACATCGACACAGGACAGGGGAGGTTGACAACGGCATTCCAAGGATAGTGAGTCAGAAAACGAAGGACTCCAGTTGTCACAGCACAGAGACAGTAGAAACAACAGCGACAACACCAACAATAACTCCTGACGATCGCGATAGCAAGACGAAGACGATGAAGTCATCCTCAGGATTGGGCCCAGGAGAAACTGAGGGCTGCACATCTTTACTATGATCCTCTCCGAAGCGCCCTTCCATAAGAGCTGTGGGAAGATTGAAGGTGGTTCCGAAGAGCACTCCTTCCACATCACACAGAGCAGGGCTGTATCTTTCTTGATTCTTCCGCCTGAACAAAGCTTAACGAAAGCAGCTCCTGCAACGAGTGCCATGCAAAGACCTATCGCAAAGTTGCGGGCGTCTGGATTCTCAAGCGGACGCTTGTCCTGCCCTGATGTCGGAGTCTTTCCGGTTTGCAGGCTATTGTCAATGATCTCCGTGGGCGGAGTAGTGACTTGATTCTCGAGATCCGTTTCACTCGTCGCGAATTCAGGGAAGGCCGTGCTGGCCGTGGAGAACTCCGAGTTTGACCAGTCCTGGCCAGTCTCGTCTGCGGCGCTCTTTGCACTGCATGTGGCTTTCCTGGTGGCCTCACCATCTTTTGCATCGCAACTCGCTGCCAAGGAGAAGAAGATGAGGGACAGAGTGGCTAATCCCAGGCCGGCACAGTTGACCCACGGTCTGTCAATATGCTCCTTGTCGACTCCAAAGAGCCCAAATCGTCCCGTGAACCAACCCATGATCATGTTGCTCAAGTCCCAGACCGTGAGTCCGAGACCCATGCCAATCAGCTTGATGATGTAGGGGCACATCAAGTTCCCACACATCCAAATGGCCCCCCCCAAGGCGGCCCAGGGCTCCAACTTGGGCATCTCCAGCCCAGGCGGGCTGCTCAGCACTGTCCCAGTAAACAATCCGACTGCGAGGATGCCTAGCGACATCACAGCAGAGAAGAAAATTCCATCTCCCGTGTCGATGCCTCGGACATCCGACTCATCCGCTCAGAAATCACCCCATGTCACCCCATGACTCCCCCGCCTTTGACCGGCAAGTAGTTGATACCGAAGCTAACCTGCCAGCTGTGGTCATTCAGAGAAGTTCCGGCTCACTACGGGTGTCACCGAGGACCGCGCCCCTGCTATGAGGCAGCAGCTGTAACCCAAGACCCTGAGCCGACACGAAGCAATCAGGACGTTGGTTCTGGCGCGGCGGTGTTACAAGCGTCGGTATCAAATAACGACCAGGCACATATCCCCGGTCATCTCTGACCTCAGCCGCGATGCAGAATGGTCCACAAGATTGTAAATTGTAAAAGCATGAAGGGCAGCGGGGAAACGTAAGGCACCGACAAGGGTACTGGCAGGACGGGTGCTTACAGTCTGGAGCCGCAGAAAACTGAACCAGACACTGAGGAATCAAGCTCTCGAGCAGAATCCCCTCTAGGGATTCTAGGGTCGAAAACCGTCACTTTGTGTGAGCTGACTGTCACAGCAGTATGGGACACGGAAAGCCAAGACAATCAATCCTATGCTGCTTGTGGCGGCAACGATGACCCAAAACGCACGCAGGAATCAGCACCACATAAAGCTGCAAGCCTTTTTCGAAGTCCAGCTCGGGTTTCACAGTTCGCTGCTTGTAAAGTGACAGTTCTACCTGGCTCGAGACCTATACCGCGCAGCGCTGCTGCTGAGTTACAGTTTTTGCCTGAACACCATCACCAGGCTCGAGCCGTGCGCACTTTGACGCAGACGACATGAGATCGCATGCCCCCTCAAAGATCGGCTCGGTTTCTGTGCCGCTTCCGCGACTGGATCTGACAAGGTAACAGGCCTACAATTGACATCCAACGACCTACGACACGATACAAACGCCGTCATTGACCGATGCATGTTCTGGACTTGCAGCTTCGCAACATGACTTACACGGACGCCACGTCTTCGCGGGTCTCCGGCAAGTCGATATCTACCTCCTCCTGCTCCAGCAGAAGCCTGTTACGATCCGCTGCCGTCACCTCAACAGGATCATTCCGACCAGCGATGTTCAAAGATCTTGAAAAACAATTTCTGAAGTCAAGCTGCGGCCACCATGTTTCGCGATCGAGCTCTGTCTTGTCCATCCTGCTCCAAACCCCATGACAGGATTCACAGCACGATGAACTGAGTACGCCTCGTCTGTACAGATCAGACGGCAAAACAGCCGTGCCAGAGAAAACAAATGAAAGAGACAGAAGTACACACGCGACTTTGGAGGTACAGTGGGGCCATGATTTTCCATGCCGTACAGGCCTGGCATCCCTTGGCACAGGACATCCATTGACCTTTATCGCCGTGCCGGCGCTGGATGATGTAGCCCAGGCCCAATGCCACCCAAGCTCCAATGCAAAGCATGCCCGCCAAGTTCACCATCTGACTCTTGAACAGTTTGCCACTGGCTGAAATTTCCACCTTGTTCTCGAGACGATCATACATGCGTTGCTGGAAGGATTGGCCTTGAAACTGGGCCCCTCCCCTTTCGATGCTCACCGATGACCCCAGCTGGTCTTGAACATCGTCCGGGATGTAGTGCGACACCATCCGTTTAAACCTCTTGTTGAGGTCTGGTGTTTTCACAACTTTCCTGTACAGGAACTGCAACCTTACCTCCGGAGCGTTGAGCTGCATCTTCAAGACAATGGCCTTCGGGGTGTTCTGGGTGACCTTGGATTGGGAGCTTCTCTTTATGCCTTCCTGGGAGAAGCTCTTGCGAGCAAAAATCAAAAGCGAAGCCAAGGATCTTTTACCGTCACCTCGTCGGCCGTCAGTGCTGGCTCCGTGGACACAAGCTCAAGACCATCGAAGTCCGGATAGTCCCCCGCGAAGCTTGTGAGGACCTCGGAAAGGGGCCAGGCTCTGCCATACCCACCTCCGCCGTCCCTAAAAAGCCCCTTGCGGCCCCCGCCTTGACCATGGTCGACTTCAGGATGCCGAGATTCTTCTGAGCAAACCTAGCTATTTAGGGCAGCACAAGACTGAGGCACACAGCTAGTGCACGCGGCCGCATAGTGTCAGCAAAGCCACTTTGGGGGATTGTGGATCGTAACCTTCAGGGGAACGCGCATGTTGCAGACCCTCGGGCCGGCCATTTCAAACGCCGGAGCGATGATGACCGAGGCCGTCAGATCTTGCACATCACATGACTTTGTGAAAGTGTTGTACACAAAGCTTCGACAGTCAGTTCCAATCCGAGAACACCGGTTGCGACAGTCATCCAGGCTGCCCACGGCAGTCGTCGGCCAGGACTTTGGTCGCGTTACCTTTGGGGAGAAGCTGACGTTGTGGGCCAAACACGATTCGGTCATCAGTGCCTCAAAGGCTGTTTCCTCATTGGCACCTGTCATGGCTTTGTCGCAGAAAGCTCTACCTCCCTGCCAGCCCACTCTGCCCTCGACCAGGCTTGCCATTGTTGATGCAAAGTGGCAGAGCTTCAACTCTTTGTAGAAAGAGAAGCAGTCACAGGACTCCTGCTCACGACATTTTACCTGGCACTCTTCGGCATCCTTCGTGTACTGCACTGCCATCGAGGGTGTCAGGTTCATGTCCAATGGCTCACACACCACGTTCTCTTTCACACACAACTGAGAGGCGTCTTCTATGGTCTCGCCTAAATAAGTGTCTTTTGGAAGTGGCCGCGACTCAGCCGCAGCCGGCGCAGCCGACTTACTCGCAGCCGGCACGGCCGACTTACTCGCAGCCGGCACGGCCGACTTACTCGCAGCCGGCACGGCCGACTTACTCGCAGCCGGCACGGCCGGCTTACTTGCAGCCGGCACGGCCGACTCACCCGCATCCGGCTGATCTGGTGCGGGCGCGGGCGACTTGCTCGCATCCGGCTGACCCGCAGCCGACAGGTCTGGTACTGGCGCCTTCTGTGTGTCAGCCGAAGTTGAGGCGTGGATCTTGACTTTGAAGTGGGCGACTGCGTTCGAAGACTTGACCTGCACAGGAGTATCTCCGGCTCCTGGTGGTGTTCCAGAGAAAGTGCCCGAAGAAGCGTCGTAGTTCAGCCAGGACGGCAATCGCTCCCCGTCTTCTCGGGAGACCGTACTGGCAGGTCCTGCGGAGCCTGCGGGCAGTGTATACTCCAAGGGTATTCCCACCTCTCCGACAGCGGATGGAAGCTGCACCTGGCTGGCAGCCACACCGTGCAGATCTGTGCTGCCGGACTCCTCCACCCGGAGCCTGAGGACTTGAGTCTTCGTTTCGTCTGCGTTACTTGCCGAAATCTGCAATAGGTGCTGACCTGTTTCTGAAGGCACCCCAGATACGGTTCCTGTAGCCGAATCGAAAACGACCCACTGGGGCATAGTGTCGCCAGGCACAGCCTGGATCTCGAAGGTTTTAGGAGCCGTGCTGGAGCCGAAGGAAGTTGGAGGCATTGGAAAGTTCATCGGATGGCCTTTGATTGCAAGCACATCAAGTGCTGCCGGTGGTTCAACTTTATCTCGGATGGTGTAGTCTGCGATGACTGGCTTCTTGAACTTTTTGTTCACAGCCTTCACAGAGACGTCCGTCGAGAGGTCACTGTCTGGTGCTGTTCCTTTCAGCTTGAGGGTTTCGGGGTCGAAGCTGAGCCAGGATGGCAAGGACTCTCCTGAGCTGGTCTCGGCAGTGTAGCTCCAGCCTGTGGTGTCCAGTGAGCCTGAAGCAAACTTCTCCGCAAACTCGTCGGCTACACTCTCTTCCAGCAGCTCGCCACTGCTGAGAAAAATGGTTTTGCTTGCTGCTCCAGGGCAGCCCAAGCCATGCGTTGCGCAGCAATACTCCTTTCTTGCTGGTTGCCATGACACGAACTCCTGGAGCCCGGAAAGGCAGTCGTAGGCTTTCGACAAATCCTTCCCTTCCTCCTTGGCTTTCTCCTCTGCTGCCTTCTGCACATCCGCCAACGTGCCTTGCACACAGTCCAAGGAGGAGCCACAGTCGCCGTAGGCAATCCTGAAAAAGGCAAGTACATACAAGGCCCGCAGCGAACCGCTCATGATTTCGAGAGAGGTGTCGAAGGCTAGGCCGAAAGCGCAAGAACTGTGAAAACAGATTCAGAAGGATTCCATAGACACCTCGCTGCACTCACTAGACAATGAGTCGTCCGTGCTGAGAGCAATCCTGCGATCCACAAAGCCACCATGTAAACATGTACGAGCGCAATCAACTGCTCTGTGCTTCGACAAGCTACTGATGTTCTAGCGCCCCATAGGATGTAGGATCTTCACTGGGTATGTGATCACAGAGCTGCAAGCACTTTTTTTCCGGCGATCCGAGGAGGACCGAAGGCAAACTCGTTCTGAGTTGAAGGCCGCCAAAACAACGTCGGAACCGGAGACTGTCCGCAGACCCCTTGCTGAAATCGGAATCTTTATGCATGCATTCATCCAGGTGCCTGTGCTTCGGAGGCTTGGAGAAGTTGCTTCGGGCTGCTACCACGTGACGAAGGGATTCGTAACACATCGAGAGTTCTGTTCTACGCCCAGGGAAGATGAGTATGGACCCAGAATTTCCACATCTGCATGCACCTGTGAAACTGTTGCCATATAGCTTGTCTACAAACTTTCCCCTGTCAAGTGACAAGGGGAAGGATGCGGAGGGTCCGACATGAAAAAAGCGAAGGATCGCGACACGAGCAGCGCCGACAGTTTGATTTCAATGACCTACAGCACCCCTCGGATTTGCAGCTTGAAGGAGGCAGGCAGCCATGTCCTGAAGTTCGGCCCTGCCCTGCTGGGTTGCTGCGCAAGCATTCCAAATCCCAACAAATGCTTGAGCTAATTCGCGTCAAGCAGAGATCTGCCGAAAGGCCGCCTACCGACCCACACAGCTCGGGCCATGTCCATGATCGCGAGCATGCTACCAGTGTAAAAATTCTGAGACATGACGCACACTGATGCAATCAACACGCCTGGACTCGGCATGTCGCTGTCGTGGCTGCCACAGCCGTTGCAGGAACATCAGCATTTGGTAGCTTTCGGCTGCATTCTGCTCTCAACAGCCCTTCTAGAGCCGAAATACTCCGCTGGAGGAATGAAAATCTGGAAACGCGAGGAATTAATTGCTACTCCAATTCAATACATGACACCGCGAGTGGAGCAAGCTGCAAGATCAAACACAGTTCCTTGACCTGTTCGCTTGTGAGAACGACTGACTATGACGGCACCGAGCCTGCAAGCCACAATTTTTCGATTGCACAACTTGCGGGCAAATGTTGGCGGCTTGACCTTGACTTCGCATATTGATTGCATCAATATCAACGATGGTACATGCATGATTCTGCATGATGGATGCACACCATGCAACCCTTGGTCAAATCGCAGCAAAATGCCAATGTGCACCGGCCACTGTCGGCAGATGCCTCGTCAAAGACGATCTTGTCGCTTGCGGCCAACACACGTTTGATCCTGCCATGTACATCCGGACTCGTCCAACACGTCCGCACATCAGAACCACATGATGCAGGGATTTGCTATAGGACATAAGAAACACAATCGCATGTGCATACAAAACATGCCGCAACTGTCTTATTGAACGCAAACCATGCAAGCCTCTTCCCGCAAAGCCAGCGCTGCGCCAAACGCCGCGAGAATTCGCACTCGGGCAGCTCTGGCCTTGACACTGCAATTTGAAGCTTATCTACCAACGTCACATTGTAGATTAACTCAGAGAACACAATGCCGATTGCAATGCCACGATAGGTCTCATCAATAAGGGCGCCGCATTTGCCTCACAACCACGTCATTTCCACATTGGGGCCAAAGCTCCGCGTGACTTATAACTTTATATTCTGCTTGCCACACTCACTGGTTCTGCGGCCGAGAACAACGATGCCACGCTTGGATGTTTATGGAATTTATGGTAACTTATGGTAAGCTCATACATACAAATGTAAATCGTGAGGACCGCAATACAAACCACTACGTCAAGCAAGCGTGCCGCAAATCAACATGTGGAACGTGAGTATCGGTACGATTTTGCGACTACGCGAAAACGCACACCACTGTCAACAATCCAATTTGCAAAAAATGAAACGACAAATCCGAAACAAAGGCTATGTGCCCACATCCGCCAGGGCGGACAAGGAGCTGGCGCGAGGCCGAGAAGAAGCGAGAAGAATCGAGGAGAATTGCGCATGGTGGTTCTCTAGGTCGCACTGCTCTAGCACTTAAGACCTTCGATGCACATTTTTTGACGTGTTGCTTCTGGTTAGGCTTGGGGCTAGAAGGAGGGGCCTAGGCCCCGAGGCTGGGCCCTAGGCTAAAAAGTCACCCCCCCTCTAGGCTTTGTGAAAAGTCTTTGGTGGTGCAAGCCACGAACTGGGTTCTACGGAGAACCGAAGGCAATCCCCTGAGGGAGCCGGAGCGGGCGTTTCAGGTGTCCCCTCAGGCCATCTTCGCCGCACCATGTCAAGTGGAGGTGGCGACTGATCGCATGTCAGCAGGACCACCCACACTCGAGACTCAATAATGTGGACGACTTGGCCACAGACCCGCCCTCGGCGTGCTTCCTTTGCTCATGTCCCGACATTTGCCCAAGTCACGAGGCCATCAAGCAGA